TGAGGGTTACTGGAGGGAAAGTAGGAGGGGGAATGTTCTAAATGGGTGATGGGACTTAAGGAGGGCACATGGGATGAGAGCTGGGTGTTGTCTATAAGTGATGAATCACTAAATTCAATTCTTAAAATCAATACGACTGTATAGGTTAACTAACTTGAATGTAAACAAAATATTTCAGAGAAAAAAAATAGTTACATGAGGACTAAGTAGGTTTACCCCAAGAATTCAAACTTGGTTTAATATTAAACACTCAATTAATGTAATTCACTATGTTAACAAAGTAAAAAAGAAAACCATATAATAATTTCAAAAGGTGCATCATGTTTATTTGACAAAAACCCACATCTACACCTAATAAATGTCTCAGCAAACTAGGAATCAAGAGTACCCCCTCAATCTGATAAGGAGTATCTAGGGAAAAAAATCTGCAGCTGACATCATACTTAAGGATAAAAGACTGAATGTTTTCCTTCCTAATATCAGAAAAACAGCAAGGACCGCTGCTCTTATCATTCCAATTAAAAAATCAATTGCATTTATAAACGCTAAAGATGTAGAATATAAAACAAAAATTAGGCATAATTATAAGATGGTCTTCAAAATTCTTTCCCCATAGTGTACATGATTTGTAAAATTTCTTTTCCTTGAAGGTGAATGAGATTGTCAAAATTTTAGTGATGGATTTCACTGCCATGATTATCTTACATTTATGGTAAAAGGAAATGTGCAGATGTAGTTAAGATCCTAACCGAGATTATTTTGAATTAATCAAAATGGGTATTATCTGGGTAGATGTGACTAAATTGAGCAGTCCTAAAAAATTTTACCATGAGTAAATTTCTCCTGCGAACTCAAAGATGAAAATTACCACGAATACAAAAGCTTCAAGGAGGAATGGATTCCTGCCACCAACCTGCATGAACCTGAAAGAGCACCCTGAAGCCTCGGATGGGAATGCAGACCTGGCTGAGCCATAGATTATAGCCTTTAAAGATGTGGTTTATGTATACAATGGAATATTACTCAGCCATTAGAAACGACAAATACCCACCATTTGCTTCAAGGTGGATGGAACTGGAGGGTATTATGCTGAGTGAAGTAAGTCAATCGGAGAAGGACAAACAGTGTATGTTCTCATTCATTTGGGGAATATGAATAATAGTGAAAGGGAATATAAGGGAAGGGAGAAGAAATGTGTGGGAAATATCAGAAAGGGACACAGAACATAAAGACTTCTAACTCTGGGAAATGAACTAGGGGTGGTGGAGGGGGAGGAGGGCAGGGGGTGGGGGTGAATGGGTGACGGGCACTGAGGGGGACACTCGACGGGATGAGCACTGGGTGTTATTCTGTATGTTGGTAAATTGAACACCAATAAAAATTAATTTATTAAAAAAAAAAGATTATAGCCTTTAGAGAGGCCTAAGCACTAGATACAACCAGGTCATGCAGGAAGGGATCAAAAAATGGTGTGAAGGAACTTCTGATGCAAAAGAGTGTATTTATCATCTTGTTTGTGGTGAATATTTCACAAGTACATAAATATGTCAAAGCTTTACAAAATTTTAAATATATGCAGCTTATTGTATGACAATTATGCCTTAATACAGTTTTTTTCCCCAAAGTATAAACAAACAAACTTCCAAATTTGAATTCTCTTCTCCACAAATAGTCTCTAAGAATATTTGGAGTTAGCCTTCTCACATTTGGACTTAAGCAGTAAATTTTCTTTCACTAAAAAATTCATACATTTAGAAATTCCTGTGCCAACAATGCTAACGGTTAATGCTAGTATTAAATTTCATGGCATAATGGTGATTTAGGATGTGCTGGGCACCTTTATTGCTGTTTTCCCACCGCAAGATTTTAAATCTCATGGAAGCAGCCTAGTCAGTTTGTTAGCTTGAGGGGATTTTATAACCAATCAGAATAGAGTGAAATATAGTTTATCATTTAAAATGAAGCCTAGTGCCAATTTTATGGCTATCGCAATCTGAAAATCAAATTCCAAGACATCTGCTATTTAAAAATCACAGCCCTAAGAAAACTGAGATTTGATTGCCTGGGTTCAAATCTGGCTATGCTACTACCTTTATAATTTTAGTCTACTCTATGCCTCAATTTTCTCAACTATGAAATGGAGATAATATTATCTACTTTATAGCACTGTTGAAGGATTAAATAAATTAACACATTACCAGGTCTTAGAAGACTACCTGGTAATGCTCTCCAGCTTGTACAAAATCTACAGGTTCTACGGCATTGACCATCAGGGAAATATAAATTAAAACCACAGTGAGATACCACCTCAGACACACTATGAAGGCTATAATAAAAAGACATAACAGGTGTTGCCAAGAATGTGGAGTAATTGGAATCCTCATACACTCCTGGTGGGAATATAAAATGAGCAGTGTCTTTGGAAAACAGTCTGGCAGTTCTTCAGAGGGTGAAACCTAGAGTTACCATGGGACCCAGCAATTCTACTTCTAGGTATATCCAAGAGAAATGAAAATACATTTGCACAAAAACTTATACATGAATGTTCACAGCAGCATTATTCATACTAACCTAAAGTAGAAACAGCCCAAATGTCCCAAAACTGGTAAATTGATAAATAAAATATGGTACATCCACAGAATGAAATATTATTTAGAAAAGAATGAAGTACTGATACATGCTACATGGGTAAACCTTGAAAACATCATGCTAAGTGAAAGAAGCCAGCAAAATAAGACCATAAACAGTATGATTCCATTTGTATGATATGAAATGCCCAGAATGGGTAAATTCACAGAGAAGGAAGGTAGATTGTGGCTGCAGGTAGATTTGGGGTGAGGGACTGAGGAATGACTGCTAATAGGTATGAGGTTAATTCTGGGAGTAATGTAATGTTCTAAAATTGATAGTGATGATGTTTATACAACTGTGAGTATCCTTAAAAACCATGAGATTATATGCTTTGAAATGGGGGAGCTATATGGTATGTGAATTACATCTCAATAAAGCATGTTAACTGGTTTAAAATAATTTGGAAAGAGAAAAGCCTGAAAGCAACGACAGCATTAGTAATAAACTGGTTCTCCTCTCTAGTTTCATCCCCTTCTATTCACATTTTTACTCTATGCTCTATCCATAATGAATGGACCCCTTGCAGTTCCCGTATCATGTCTTCTTATTTGATGTCCTATGACATATTCTATCTGCTTCCTGGAATTGGCTTCACCTCTCTCCTACCTAACTCCTTTATAACCTGGACTTGTCAGAATAAGCTAATTGCTAGAACTATCAATCCCAAAATCCAGTGGTCTGCATCATATAGCTTTATTTCTCACTCATGTAGACCTAACCGGGTGATGTAGGGATTCAAGATCCTTATCTCTAGTGGTTCTGCCCATCCTGAAGTCTTGGAGTCTTCCACTGTATTCTCTATATCTGGCTGCGAGAACCTGTGGGGCATCAGCACAGATAGAATCTTGAGAAACTTTCTAGTGATTAATTCAGTTTTGAATTCAAGATACCCAATGGTCTTGGGTTTAGCAGAGACTGTTAGGTTATGATTCTGTACCTCAAAATTTTGCAACAGTGTCTCTGTCATATCTTCTGAAATAAGAGGTGATTTACTTAAAAGACAAACCTCAGAGGTAATTATTTTTAAGAATAAATATGTTCGGAGAAAATGCTGTTCAACATCTCTATTGAGGGACTTATGATACTCACACAATATAAGCTGGAATTATGAGAAACTTTCCTTTAAAGTGCTAATTATTAAAGAGTTGGAATAAATTCCTTAGACAAAGTATGACACACAGCATCTAAACTTCCAGAACCAGTGAAGAGGTATTATCAACTATGTTCCGCTCCCAAATTTCTCTGCCACACTGAGGAGTGTTCCAGAGAAGCAGGACACCTTGGCCGTGTTGGGAGAAATTTGAAAGTACTCACTTTTACGGAAGTCCTAAGACAGAGAATGTCTTTCATATTATTTAGGATCATCCTTGGTACATTCATCCAATAACATCGCCAACTATCTCCTCAAAGAAATCCATTTGCTTTTGCAGCTAGATGGAGCGCAATTCTCAATTGGTAGCGAAACATCTTAACACGTTTATGAAGTTCCACCCCACAGCACCTGCCATCCAGAGTGGAATTCTGACTAGGCTGGGGGTATCACGTTCAGAAGGTCCCAGCAGGTCTGGCGGGCTTTGGTGGGGGCCGGGACTTGGGGCGGGGCATCCCGACAGGGCGGGGGCCGCCGCGGGGGGCCGCGGGCCAGGGTGCAGTTGCCGCCACGCGGGTTCAGCTCTGTGCTGTCTGTGCTGGAGGATGTCCGAGGTGCGAGCAACATCCTCAAGGCGACCTAGTTCCACTCCGCACCGGAGTGAGGAATGGGAGCACAGGCGATTCCTCGTCCTGGACCGCGGCGACGGGGGAGGGCAGCGGAGGTGCTGGTCGGCGGCTGCTCACTGGGGCACGCAGGAACCCAGCTGCTCCTGAGAGTGGGCTGCGGCGAGAAGCCCACGTCGTCCCGGGGTCCTAACGGGAAGGCAAGTGTAAGGCAGCCGGGGGCTGGGAGCTGCCAGCTGGGGTTTGAGGCCAGGGACCGAGTCCGGACGGAGCCGCACCCCTCGCGGGCCGGGCTTGGGAGGACGGCGCGCCTCGGGCCCTCGGGCGGGTCCGGGAAGCCCCGCGGCGCGGAGGCGGGGGCGGGGGCGGGGGCGGGGGCCGGCGCCAGCGCCCTCTCCTGCTCCCGCGCCCGACTCGGGGACGCGGCACCTGCCGCCCGAGGGAGGGCAAGCGCAGCGGCCGAGCAGCACTGCCCGCGTCCCGCCCGGGAGGTGGGCATCCTCGACCCCGCCCCGCGAGGCCAGGCCAGCTGGATTCCACCTGCTCTTTCTTCTCCCGCTGCCTCCAGCTTCGACATTGCCCACACCCCCTCCTCCTTCCCCGCTCCCTCCTCCCCGCAGACGGGGGCGGAGGAGAGGGGAGTCCCGGTCGTCATGACGGAGCGGACGGGAAAGGATGCCCGGGCTCCCCACGTGGCGGGAGGCGCGCCCTCCCCCGCGCCGGCCGCGGAGCCCCTGCCCCGACGTCGAGACGGCGGCCGCCTCCGGGCGAGTCAGACCTCGGACGCCCCGCGGGTCGCTGCGGCCGCACCCGCGCCCTCGGACGCGCTGCTCCTCTCCCGGCGCGGCCAGGGCGCGGACCCTGGCGGGAAGGCGCAGGACCGGCAGCCGCGGCCGGACGTGGGCCGGGCGCACCCGAGGCTCGAAGCCGCGAGCGGGGCGGGAGCCGACAGCCCCGGGCCCCCGGGGGAGGGCCGAGGGCCGCTGCACGCTGCTGCCAACACAGCGCTGCGCCCCGCGGGCCCGGGGCAGAGCCGCAGCCCTCCGGCCTGGGAGCCCCGGGGCCCGTGGCGCGCGTCTGGCCCCGAGCCGCCCGAAGGCCCCCGCGGCGCCCCCGGCACCCAGGGCGCGGTGTGCCCGCTCATGAGCCGGCCGGAGGGCAAGGCTGGCGACAGCTGCGGGCCGGCGGGTGCCCACAAGGGGCTGCCCAGGGGCCTGTCCCCGTCCCGGCAGCCGGGGCCCCTGTGCCCCGGGAGCCACGCTTGGCCCGGGGCCGCGGGTAAAGCCGCCACGCAGCCCGCCGTGCTGGACGTGGAGGAGGAGGAGGGCGGCTTCGCGGCCGAGGGCCCCACGGGCCCGCTCCTCAAGGGCAAGCCGCGGCCTCTGGCGGGCCCGGCGGCCGCAGCAGGCGCCGCGCCCGCTGCGCCGGGGCCGGCCCCCGGGGGCGCCGGCCTGGTCCCCAAGGAGGACTCCCGCCTCCCCGCGCCCAGGGTCTCCCCGGCCGAGCAGGACGCGCCGGCGCCCGGGTGCTCCCCGCTGGCCACCACAATGATGGACTTTATCCACGTGCCCATCCTGCCCCTCAGCTCGGCCTTCCTGGCGGCCCGCACCCGGCAACTGCTGGAAGCGGAGACCTACGACGCGGGCGCCTTCGCTGCGCCGCGGGGCTCGCCCGCCGCCCCCTGCGCCCCGCTGGCGGCCGGCGACTTCCCCGACTGCGCGTACCCGCCCGACGCCGAGCCCAAGGACGACGGCTTCCCGCTCTACGGCGACTTCCAGCCGCCCGCCCTGAAGATCAAGGAGGAGGAGGAGGGCGCCGAGGCGGCGGCGCGCTCCCCGCGGCCGTACCTGCCGGCGGGGCCGCACTCCTGCGTCTTCGCGGACGCGCCGCCGGCGCTGCCCCCGCTCCCCCCGCGAGCGCCGTCGTCCAGGCCCGGGGAAGGGGCGCCGGCCGCCGCCGCCGCCGCCGCCGCCGCCGCCGCCGGCTGCTCCGTGTCGTCGGCGCCCTCGCCGGGGCCCACCCTGGAGTGCGTCCTGTACAAGGCGGAGGGCGCGCCGCCGCCGCAGGGCCCGTTCGCCGCCGCGCCCTGCAGGGTCCCGGGCGCCGGCGCCTGCCTGCTACCCCGGGACGGCGCGGCCGCCGCTGCCTCGGCGGGGGCCGCGGGGGCCAGCCCTGCGCTCTACCAGCCGCTCGGCCTCGGCGCCCTTCCGCAGCTCGGCTACCAGGCGGCCGTGCTCAAGGAGGGCTTGCCGCAGGTGTACCAGCCGTACCTCAACTACCTGAGGTGAGGGCCCGGGGCCCGGGGGGCGGGGGGCGGGGGGGCGCCCGCAAGAGCGTTTGTCCGGCCGGGGGGGGGGGCGCCTGCGGGAACGGCGGTCGGGCGGGAGGGGCGGGAGGGGAGCACCTGCGGGAACGGCGGTCGGGCGGGAGGGGCGGGAGGGGAGCACCTGCGGGAACGGCGGTCGGGCGGGAGGGGCGGGAGGGGAGCACCTGCGGGAACGGCGGTCGGGCGGGAGGGGCGGGAGGGGAGCACCTGCGGGAACGGCGGTCGGGCGGGAGGGGCGGGAGGGGAGCACCTGCGGGAACAGAGATCCCGCGCGGCGGCGGGGGGGGGGGGGTGGCGACTGCTGGAACAGCGGTCCGGCCTAGGGGGCGGGGAGCCTGCGGGAACTGGGGTCGGCCAGCCGGGCGGGCGGGGTGGGGGGGTCCCGCTGGTCGGAGTGGCCGCGGCGGGGCCCGAGAGTGCTTTGGTGTCGCTTCCTTCCTCTCCCCTCCTAACTACTTTGGGGACACAAAAGGGGCGCATAATGGGCCTGTTGTGGAGCGTGGCTTCTCAAAAGTATTTCCTGAACTTTACAAATCTGCAAGGTTTCTAGACCAAAGTAGCCCCCGCTTGAAACGTGCAGCGTCGCTCTAGGTGCCCGGTGGTCCAGTGCGGTGGGAGATGCTCGGCGGCTTGGGGCATTCACAGGCTGGTGATTTTCGTAGAAGGATATTTACCGGGAATGTCTGTCTTGGAGAGACCTTGAGGCACAGAGCCCCTGGGGAGCGGTGCCGGCGGGCCGCGGCCTGCAGCGGAACCTCTGGGGTCCGCACGCGCGCGGCCGGGTCCTCTCGGGGCTCTCAAGACGACGGTGCGCGCCGCGCTCGCGTTACGCGTCTGGACGTGGGTCGCTGCCGCGCGCGGTGCTTCGGAGACCGCTGTGGATCGGCTGCGACTTTTTTCGCGCGGGCTTTCAAGGACGTTCTCGGTTACGCGCTGAAGTGAAATGTCCAGGAATGTTCGCTTTGACTCTCCTGTGCTGTGTAGGAGCAGAACTGTCGGTATATTGGACGATTCTCTGAAATGGCAGACACAGATTCGTCCAAGTAAACGACCATTAGGGGTTGCTTTGAAGACTCGAAGCAGGCATTGCTACGTGTGACTGCCCCTTAGAACGAGACAGGTTCACTGTTACGCAGGGTACAGGAAGGAAATGACGTCTCGTTTGTCAGAGAAAATTGCTCATTCTACATAAGGAGTTTCGAACAAAGATTTTTTTTAGAGATTTTATTTTGTTTATTCATGAGAGACACGGGCAGAGGGAGACGCAGGCTCCATGCGGGGAGCCCGACGCGGGACTCGATCCCGGGACTCGATCCCGGGACTCCAGGACCGCGCCCTGGGCTGAAGGCGGGCGCCAAACCGCCGAGCCATCCAGGGATTCCCCCGTACAAAGATTTCTTTTTTTTTTTTTTCCTTTTTAACAAAACCAACGGACCTTAGCTTTCCTGAACATGAACTTACATATTATTCTTTTATGTTGGTGCTGCTGATGCATGATGATTTGCAAATGTGGTGAGTCCAGCAGCAGTGCACCAAGTTTGATTTGCACGTCTTCTATACGTTCAGTTCTATTTTAGATCCCCTTTGGTTGTGTCGACTCTGTTAAGAAGACTGTACTGTCAGCTAGTGGTACACCTAAAAATAAATGGAGTACTTTGTTCTGCATTTCAAGGCCTGATGCGGATGCCAGCCAGAGCCCACAGTACAGCTTCGAGTCCGTACCTCAGAAGATTTGCTTGATCTGTGGGGATGAAGCATCAGGCTGTCATTACGGCGTCCTGACTTGTGGGAGCTGTAAGGTCTTCTTTAAAAGGGCAATGGAAGGTGAGCTCCTTTCCCCTGACCCTTTCTTGTTGTTGTTGTTTGATTGTAAACTGAGACCATCTGTTATTTTCCCTTGCTTCTAAGAAATGATATTTCCATATGACTTAAAATAGCGATATGTTTTTGTTTACGATACTCAAAATTAAATGTGGTGGATATTACAATCGCATATTCTTTGATTAGCACTTTCAATATTAGACTAAAGTTATACTAATCTTTGGGGCAATGCTGCTATCGTTCACTACCTATTTAACTTAAAAAAGAAACAGCTTGGCTCTAAGCGTATTTTTATATTCCTATCATATGTGTAATATATATTACACATATTGTATTACATATATGTGCATTACATATGTGTATTATGTGTTACAGATATCACATAAATATCCAAAATCTTGATCAAGAGAAAATGGTAAATGTCATTGAAATTATGTATATGTGCTTCTATGTGTGCATATGTATGTGACGCAGTTACAAATTTTCTACATGATTTTGTCTTTACATACATATTTATCTAATACTTACATAATGGTGATTCTAAACAAGTTTTTAAGATTCTCTTTGGTATATTTTTATAAGTGGGTAAGAGTAAACAGTTTAAAGCAAATGAAAAATTTGGGTGTCACAGTAACACTTTCTGAAGTATTTTGCTACAAGACTTTCATATTTTTAAAATTATCTAAATTACATATTTATCTAATGATTTTGGATTGACTTACATAATCTATTTTGCCCTTGAACTTTAGTAGAAGATATTTTTGGATTTTTGTATCAACACTAAATTCTAAGCAGCCAACTACTTTTATGTTTGAAGATAAAAATGCATTTAAAAATGATTTCATATTGAAATTCTAACAATAAGTGCATCTTGTAGTGAACTAAATGAGTTTAGGGTTCCCTCTGAAGTGTGGAGATCACACCTAGACAAGGAACTAAAGATCTGAACACCTGCTTTTTCAAACCTTCCTGTTTGTGAGGTTTTTGATTTCAAGAGCCCTCTATTCGATAAGTAGGAAAGGAAGGAGTGAGGAATTTTTACCTTAAGGGAACTTTCAAAGGAGTTTGATGCACATATTTAATATGCACCAAAAGAATATAATCTAAAAGACATTAAAAAAAAAAGATTTTATTTATTCATGAGAGACACAGAGACAGAAGCAGGCTCCCCAGTGCAGGACTGGATCCCCAGACCACACTCTTCGGATCACACTCTGAGCCGAAGGCACATGCTCAACTGCTGAGTTGCCCAGGTGTCCCTCTAAAAGACATTTATTTATTTATTTTTTAAATTTGTTTTTATTGAAGTTCGATTTGTCAAGATACAGTATAACACCCAGTGCTCATCCCATTAAATTCACTATTCTTGTAGATGCCTAACAGGTGATTATACATTTTTGATAAAAATGAAACCATTTATTAGTAGTATTTGTAATAATCCTATTTAAATTAATTCTTCTTAAAGAATATTTGCTTTGTATATTTCTAGAATCTGATTTTTTTGAATGTTGAATATATTTAACTGATATTAAACATATGTATTCAGCCTCAGAGGGTTTTAATTGCATTTTAAATTAATTGAAGCACTGTATGAAAAGAGGCTACATGAGAAAATGGGACACAACTTAGGGTGATCCTAACTTTCCTATTGGTGTTATTTATTCATAGTTAGAAGCAGAAGTTCTTTGTGTAGAAGGGTTGATTCTCCAGCTCATAATTTGAGTTACTGTTTCCATCTGACTTTAGTTCTGGCTTTTTGAACATTCCTTTCGCCATAAATAGAATTTCCTTCATTCTCATAGTCTTCTTAGAGTAGTCTAATTTTATAAGTGAATGACCTCCGTAGAATCCCCTGCCTGAAGGCCAATTTTTCTCTAGCCCAGCCCCAACTCTTTATAGATAAACAAGTCCCAAAGACATAACTTTGAGCTTCCAAAGAGCACACAACTAGCTAGTAACCAATTGTTAGTCACCGTAAGTTAGATACTATTTCATTGCAGTGCTTATAAATCAGAAATGGTGTGCACAAGTAGGTATATGATAAATGCTACTTAATTTGCAGAAGTTACTTCAAAGTGTGCATATAGAACCAAGAGCACCCTATCTAAAATATAAATGCTTTTATAGTATTAAAATAGCATCCAGGACCACATAAAATATCTTCCCAAATTTACTCTTAGCATTTGTTGAACTACTACTATTGGCATGATCCTGTGTTAGTCTTGAGTAGTAGAAATGAAGCACCTTTATTTGACAAAATTTACAAAGAGGAACTTTAGATCTTTATAAGTCATTCATGAAACTAGAGCAAGATTACAAAACTATACAAGTAAGTTCATTATTTTATACCTCTTAGATTTAGATTTGAGCCAAAGGTATTCTTCCCTTCATCTCTCTCTGCCTTAGATATAAAAGGAGGATAACATTCGGTACTCCTGGGATATCTGGGTGGCTCAGTGGTTGAGCGTCTGCCTCTGGCTCAGGTCATGATCCAGGGATCCTGGGATCCAGCCCCACATCAGGCTCTCTGCGGGCTGCCTGCTTCTCCCTCCACCTGTGTCTCTGTGTCTCTCATGAATAAATAAATAACATCTTTAAAAGAAAGTTAGGTACTCCTCAGAGTAGTTATAAATATTAAATGAATTAATACATGCAAAGTTTTGAAATAAATGCCTAGCATATTGTCAACTTCAATTGGTGTTGCTTCTGTTGAAGAGCTTACAGTAGAGTTGAAGTAACGCATTTGCATGTTAGACCTTTTTGCATGTAAAAAAGAGATTCTCACTAAATATCCAGATAAGCAAATCTGTAAAGTAGTTAAAGATTTGTGTGGTTTGTGAGTTGGTGTAGGTGGAAGTTGGTTTTAGGATGGAATGTGCATATTCAATGTTGATAGGAGAAGACTTTATGAAAAATATGAACTTCATTGGTTACTAAAGGACAAGTAAGATTACTGATCTCTGGGCATTGAGGTGCGCTTTTAAGTGCATATGTCCAAAGAAAAGTGAAAAGATCAAGATTAAACTAAGACTTGAAGAGTTATATTAGGAAATCATTAAACTGAAAGGTTGGGAAGTTTAATTGCCTGTGTTTGAATGAATTGGGATAAAATCAGTGATTTAAGACAAGATAGTAGTAGTTTCCGGGAATTTTTATGAGTTAGAAAGGTGTAGAAGGACTTTAACAGTTGGAGAGACATAGGTGTGAAATCTAAAGTAAGGGTAGTTTGGGACGCCTGGATGGCTCAGCAGTTGAGCGGCTGCCTTTGGCTCAGGGTGTGATCCCGGGGTCCTGAATCAAGTCCCACACCGTTCTCCCTGTGAGGAGCCTGCTTCTTCCTCTGCCTGTGTCTCTGCCTCTCTTTCTGTGTAGGAGTAGTTCAAGGTAAAACTGGGGGTGGATACCAATATGTCCAGAAGTCAAAAGTCAGTGGTTAAAATATAGATGTTGTTACCAAGGATAATAATGTTATAACATTTTATAGTGCTTTCTATGTACCAGTGACTAAGTGTTTTATGGGTGTTTTAATTCTTTTAATCCTTATAATCGTTATTATTTTCATTTTACCAATAAAGGTACTAAGGCCCAGAGATGTTAAATTGCCTTAATCACAGTTAGGAAGTGGTAGAATCAGGATTCAAACCCAAGTGGTGGAACTCCAGAATCTGTGCTACATTTAATTATACTACATTTCTCTTAATAGGAAATTATGTTTAAATTTCAAAGAAAAACAATAGAGGGTTGTAAAAAAAAAAAAAAACAGTGAGCCAAATGATAAAACATCTAGGAAGGTAAAAGTGACTCCTAAAAAAGATTGCAAGATGAAGGGCGATCCAGTGTGTGATATAAATGGATGGATGATACTAACTTCACATTTAGGATAGCTGTGAGAAGACATAGTCCGGAGCCAAGAACCAGTTTCCTTACCTCGAGAGCCTCCAAGTTGGGAGAGGCAGTAAAATCTGTAAAGAAGTCACCTAAGAAGACTGGGTTTGTCTTGGTATGAGACAGGAGAGAAAAGAGGCAGGAAAAGAAAGAAAGAGAGAAGGAGACAAAGAGAAGCAAACAAACCACTCAGGAAGTGAATGTATGGGGGTGGGAAGGGATGACTTCTCTTAACCTAAGAAAATGAATTAGCCAAAAAGCAATTGGTTGAACAGCCCATTGCATTCCTTTACTAAGACTTGGAATGAAGCAGGAAGTGGTCAGGAATTGCCTTAATACCTTCCAAGGAGATGAAGTCATAATGACCCAACCAGTTTTATAAGTGCGGGCCATGACTTTGTAAGTAAGAAAAGATCATTTCTTTTTTTTTTTTATGATTTTATTTATTTATTCATGAGAGACGCAGAGGGAGAGAGAGGCAGTGACACAGGCAGAGGGGCAGGCTCCATGCAGGGAGCCTGACATAGGACTTGATTCTGGCTCTCCAGGATCACGCTCTGCGCTGAAGGCAGCGCTAAACCGCTGAGCCACCCGGGCTGCCCAAGAAAAATTCATTTCTCATTGGCTTACCTGTGTATGTACTATGACTAGCTCAGTGCTAGGAATATACTAGATATTTAGTAAATTTGTTCTAAATGAACCAATCATCATAAGTGATGGTGTCAAGCTCTTATTCTTCGGATGCTTTTTACTGTGACAGCATCTGTAGTGAATAAATTTGATGGAATATGGGTGGGCAAATATTGTAATACAGTGAAACATTATTTAGAAGACACTAGTCTAAGTAAGTATTAATAGATTATATTACATTATTATCCTCATTTTTATTCTAAGTATATTGAGGTATAATTGATAAATAAATAAAAGTTTGAGACATTTAAAGTGTACGAAATGATGATTTGACAGATGTGGTGAAAGGATTCCCCTATCAAGTTAATTAACACATTCATCACCTGACATTAATCTTTTTTTTTTTTTGACAAGAACATTTATTTTTTTTTTTTTATAAATTAATTTTTATTGGTGTTCAATTTACCAACATACAGAATAACACCCAG